GCTAGGGTTCGGAGTTAGACGGATGCACGTCTATGCAGTTTGAAGATAAAGAGAGACAGAGGCATGCATCTTCCTGCCCCTTTGGGCATCTCTGCTGGCCAGCAAGGCCACAGGAGCACAGTCCGGCATCCATCCTCCATCGTTAGGGGGTGGAGAGATGGTTGTGGTGGAGGCAGCAGCTGGACTCAGAATCCCAGTGTCTCATCACTGGCTGCGTGGGTGTTGCCAGACTGGGAGAGTTGCAGCAACGGCCCCTTCAGCTGCCTGGAGCTCAGCACTGGCCGCATGCTCTTGATCTCAGGATGTGCAGTGGGCTTCTAATGGGAAGAGGTAGAAGCTCCCTGGGGAGCTCATGCTGCTGGCTTCTGGGAGGCAGTCTGTGGGCCCCACCTGAAGCCCCCTTCCCTACCTCTCCTGACACTTTAGAAAGAATCCTCTCCTTTAAGTCTCTGATCTGCTTAAACTATCTAGAGTGGTGTCTCATTCCCTGAGCCCCTGCAGATGCGAATGGTCAGAGTGAAATGAGCACACGCTGATGGAGGGTTCTTGTTCACAAAACTGCTCTGCAGCTGGAAAGAAGCCCAGTGTCTTGCTGGTTCTGAAGTCTGAGATCAGAGGGAAGCTTGCAGCTCTGTGGGGAAGCTCACACGGCTGCAGGTACCTACAGCACCCAGTGAGGTCTGCACCTCTGCTCACCCCGCAGCTCGGGAGCTGCTCTCCTTCCCACATCCCACAGCAATGGTCAGGACAGCACTTTGTACCTTTTCTTTGCCGCAGATACATGCAAATGCTGCTCTACTTAGGGGCTGAGGATTGTGAAGGGCTTCCTCTTCTTCCTTTTCATGTGTGATCAGTTTTATTGCTTTAAAGATGTATTAAAAAGAAAAAAAATACATTCTGACCTATCCGTTAAGCTCTTGTTAAAAATTAAAACAAAACTCCACCAGGACGTCTTCCCTGACTGCCCTCCTCCCCCTAAAGGTGTCTTGTCTCCCCTACTAGGTTTCTGGACTGCAATCTCGGGCTCATATAATGTCATGCAGTGCTAGGAAACAGAAGAGGTTCTTGATGGGGAGTCAAAGAAAATCAAACACAAAAGTGAGCCTACTTAGGTTTCACAAGTGAGGGTCCTGGGCTTTGCTAGTGAGCAGGGCTGAGGTCCAAGCACAGGACGAACAGGCTGGTTGGTTTCATGTCAGTGGGTCCCTATTGATCCCAGGAGCCTAATGGAGTTTACTGAGCCTTGGAAGAAAAGCGTATTAGGCACTCACCCAGGGACTCTGTCCAGGCCCCAGAGAAGGGAGCCTTGGAACACCCCAAACTATGACGTAGTAAGGGAAAGAACTGAAAAGAGGGAAGTAGGGCTGCCTCCAGGCAGGTGGGCAGTCTGTTTGCTGCAGTAAGGGGCAGGCACCTCGGAGGGTGAAAGGGAAGGAAAAGGAGGAGAGTATTTGGTTTTGTTTAAATATTTGTGCTCACTGATGGCTCTGGGCTTGGCGTGGGACTTGCTTTAGCCAGTGGGGTGTGAGTAGATGTGAGCTATTACGGGTCAAAGCTGAACAGATGACATGCTGAAGCTGCTGTGCAGCTTCTGCTGCCCCCCCCCCC